GATGGAGGATTAAACAACTCACCTGGTAGAGCATGGCGTAGTTCAAGCTGGCAGTTCCTCATCGCTATTTCTAGGACAGCAATGGTAAAACCTCCTTCCCTGGTGTAATTACGATGCTCTGGCTGTAGGTCGGGAGGATCAGCGAGATTAGCCAAGAAAAAACAAGGGCAGATTGAAACCATTAAATTTCTCATTCTTCTTTCAACTCCACCTCCACTGTGCCTCTCACGTGCAAGGCTCGCCACGTTGATGAAGTTGAGCGCGAGCTGCCCCCATCGCTGTGAGAGAGGCAGAGTGAAGGGGAAGGTGTTAAACACAGGGAAAAGCTCAAGAGTGAGGCTGTCCTTGACGACAGAAAGGACACACATTGTAAGGATGGGGTGGATGAGCGCATGGAAGACCCAACTGAGCATTCTCAAAACAACAACTGCCACGACRGCTGGCATTAAGCATGCCAACCATACATTCCTGACAAATAGCATGTCTATTGCAGGCCAGAATAAAGGAAGAACGGCCCCCACAAAAGAGCATGCATTCAGCATAGCGTCCGTGGCCACAAAATGGACATATAGTGCCTGCAGTCAGGAACGAAGGGACAATCCTGTACACACATGGATGCAGAAACCATCTTGCAGTCAGACCACAGAGATTGGCGGGGATCTCAGGCTGATTTTGTTGGTCAGTCATTTGTAGATCACCCGTGGGGTCTGCGCAGGGTGGTGCACAAGTATGCGGTTCATCCATATGATCCTGGTCAGCCATTTGCAAATCCCTCGTGGGGTCTACGCCATATATATATCGAGAAAGGGCCAAGCGTCCTGGCTCAGTTGGTTGAGGACGTCAGTGGTCCACAGGAGGTCATGGGTTCGATTCCCCACAGCATCCATCCGACTCCCCACGACCCCCTGTGTGGCATACTTCGGCTTCACGGACTGAGAAAGTTGGCTTGTCCCTCCTGGCTGGTCGTGGAAGTTGCATTGTTCGTTCCGGCCTACGCCAGGTGTTAGGAGCTTGGGTGCTGCTCCCCGCACAGAGCAGAGTTAGGTAGGTATAGACCCATAACCTTAGCATAGTCAAGGCCATGTTAGTAAATTTAAGGTTCGTCTCTTTTCTGGCAGGGCCCGTAAGCCTTTGGATTGTCTCCTTGGCCTATGGTATCAAAAAAAAAAAGAAAAGGAAAAAAGAAACGGGTGCTCGGAGAAAAAAAAGAAAGGCTCACTTCCAAGTAAATGGAGGCTAAAGAAAACACTTACCGAACGGTTCAAAGGTCCCGGAGAGATTTGAGATGTAGTAGTACTTCCAGGCTTTGAGGAGAGAGGGAAAGCTTTTGCCGCCCATGTGATCCCGATGGCATCCCCTCCAATCGCATCACGCCAGAACGTCGCCAGTTCTCCAAATTGGGCCTGCAAACATTACGAAAGCGCGAACCCAAATAGGAAACAAGCGACTGAATCATTCCATCCACCAATTTCGACACGATATGTCCTAAGTGCTCCGATCCAAATCGCGTCTTCGCCCCCTCCTCACACTCACTCCACTTATTATACACAACATACTGAAGAAAGGATTGAGAGTTCAATAACAACACCTGCAAGTTTTTTGCTGTCTACTTTTTGGAATATCTGTCAGTGTCTATTTAAGTTATTTAACTCTATAATTTACTGTTTTGAAGTTTAACTAGGCTACCAGAGTGGCCCGGGACCACTTGCCCGGCCGGGCCAAATATATATACATAATATTATATATATATACAGGGTTACCTGACCGAACGTTCGGGGGCCCTGGCCCCCGAACGTTCGGGCGTTCGGGGTCCCGTTCGGGGGCCGAACACCTCCAGGTTCGACCCCTGCCAAAAACAATTTCGGGGCTTAAAAATAAGTTTTTTTTCCTGATTTTTTTTTTTTGTGAGTTCTCTATGATGTAACCTACGCGCCTATAAATTTTGAAGCCATTCTGCTAAGCCAAAAAAACATTAAAAATCGTCAAAGATGGGGGTGTCAAAACGTGCTCGCCCAC